CCAGGCTGGCCTCGAACTCACAGAGATCCGCCTGGCTCTGCCTCCCAAGTGCTGGGATTAAAGGCGTGCGCCACCACCGCCCGGCTAAAAATTTATTTTTAAAGAGGCAGGACCTCCATTTGTCAAGGACCATAGTCACATAAAGTAACCTGAAACCCACCAGGCTGGCCCCAAACTTCCAAGCACCTCATCCTTCAAAATTGCTAGGATTATAGGCATGCATCACCAAACTCAGTGAAATATTAATGTTTAAGTGTAGATTTATTTTATTTTGAGTTATGTGTATATGTGGGGGGAGCACTTATAAGTGCAGTGCCTGCAGAATTCAGAAGGAGTGTAGGACCCTCTGGAACTGGAGTTACAGACAGTTGTGAACCACCAGGTGGACTCCGGGAAACAAACCCAGGTCTTCTATAAAATCAGCAAGTGTACTTAATCTCTGAGCCATCTCGACAGTCCCCCCACCTCCTTTTGTTTGAGACAGGTAGCCCAAGTTGGCCTTGAGCTCACTGTGTAGTTGAGGATGACCTTAAACTTCTGGTCCTCCTGCCCCTCCCTCCAAACTCTGGGATTACAGGCAAATAATCCTGTAATTATACCACACAAAATTCCTGCAGTGCTGGGAATCAAACCCATACCAGGTAAGTATCTTGCCAACTGGGTTCCATTACCAGCCAAGGTCTGGAATAGTCTTCAAATCTTTGACCAGCTGGAGAACTAAATGTCAGGCAATACTAAACTCCAGTTTAAGTAGGAATAACACTCTGGACAAGACCCTTGACCGCTTTCCAAAAATAAGTTGACACCTCTTCCTGTGAGCCCCAGGAGGCTTGCTCATGCCTCTTCCTGTGGGCCCGACAATGCTTGCCCATGCCTCTATCAGCCCCTAACACACTGGGGCTGAACATAGAACACTGTGTCTTCCTTCAGACCGCAAGCTCCTTAAACGACAAGGTCATTGTCTCCTTCCGCTACGTGTGCCTAGAACCTAACAGTGACGGGTTGATAACAAGTTCAAATATACTCGCTTAAAGATACTTTATTGGGGGGCAGCAAGATGGTGAAAAGAAAAGAACTTGACTCCTACAAGTTGTCCTTTGACTGCCACATGTACCCTGACATGAGTACAACACACACACAATAAAAAATTAATTAATTAAATTCTTGTTTGTTTTTGTTTTTTGTTTTTCCAGAGCTGAGGACCGAACCTAGGGCCATTCGCTTGCTAGGCAAGCACTCTACCACTGAGCTAAATCCCCAACCCCAGAATACTTTTTTTTTTTTTTTTGAGACAGGGTTTCTCTGTGTAGTTTTGGAGTTTGTCTTTGATCTTGCTCTGTAGACTAGGCTGGCCTCAAACTCACAGAGATCTCCTGGCTCTACCTCCTGAGTGCAGGGATTAAAGGCGTGGGCCACCACCGCCCATAAATAAATAAATGTAATACAGTATTTTTTTTTAAGCTGGGCAAAGTAGGATTTTTTAAAAGCTGGGTATGGTGGCACATGCCTTTGATTCCAGGACTTAGAAGATATCGAGGCAGGTGGATCTCTATCAATTTGAGGTCAGCCTGGTTTTCATATTGTGTTCCAAGCCAACCATGGCTACCCAGAACTTTTCTCAAAACAAACAGAAAACCACACACACACACACACACACACACACACACACACACACACACACCATAGTTTATTGGGAGCTGAGGATGCAGCTCATTTGGTAGAGTGATTGCCTAGCATTCGCGAAGTCCTGGGTTTGATCCCATTACCCTGTGTACCAGACATGGCGGGCT